ATAGTTGAGATATACCTATGATGAAAATTACAGGCCTCTCTCATCTTTTTAAGTGGGAGAACTTGCACAATTGGTGGCTGACTAAATACTTTTTTGCCCCACTGCATGTGTGAACATTTTAACCTGGATTAAAGCCTAAACTGAAAAGTTGATTAGCATGTGATCTAAAGCCCGATTCTGCTTACATATCCAAGTCATAGAAGATGGTAAGATATATGTCTTGAGTATTAAGGCAAATTCTAGTGTAGGCCATTTTATTTTTATTTAACTTAAATTAGTTTCTTATTTAATCAAACAGCAAGTTTGGTCTGATGGTTAAGGCACCAGGCTAGAAACCAGGAAACTGAATTCTAGTCCTGCCAGCTGGGTGACTTTGGGCCAGTCACGCTCTCTCAGCCCAATTCACCTGGCAAGGTGGTTGTTGTGGGGAAAATAGGAGGAAGAGGGAGTATTAGGTATGTTCACTGCCTTGAATTATTTCTAAAAAAATGATAAAGGCGGAATTTAAAAAAAATCTAAATCTAAAACCTGGGTGACCAGTCATAAGATTTTCCTTTATAACTTATCTATGCATAATATCTAATTGAAATCAATGTTAGGATCCCTCTTAAGATATACATGTAAGTCATTTTGAGAGAGCCAGCTTGGTGTAGTGGCTAAGGCACCAGGCTAGAAACCGAGAGACTGTGAGTTCTAGCCCTGCCTTAGGCACAAAGCCAGCTGGGTGACTTTGGGCAAGTCCCTCTCTCTCAGCCCTAGGAAGGAGGCAAGGGCAAACCACTTCTGAAAATCTTGACATGAAAACTGCAGGGACTTGCCCAGGCAATCTCCAGGAGTCAACACTGACTTGAAGGCACGCACACACACACAAAACATTTTAGTAATATTAATCTTGCCCCAAATACTTAATGGCCCTTTTAATCATCAACTTGTATCAACTGGTATTATATCTATACATTTTGATATATTTAATTCAAGATATTGTGATACATTTCAAGAAACATCTAAACCCAGATATTTATAGAATCTGTAGAAATAGTAAATCTTAATCTCCTACAGTAATTTATAGATATAGTAAATCCCAAAGACAAGAAATTAGAACTTATTCCAATTAATAGTATAACTAGAATATAAAAAACATATTGCTGCTTAACTTCAACAAGCTTTGATCATGATATTACATAATTAGTCACCAGGAGTCAACACTGACTCGAAATTACCTAAATAAATAAATAACTAAATAAATAAATAAAAAATAGAACTTTCATGGAAAGAATAAATTAAATTATGTTGAATAAGGACAAAGTGACTTGCTCTACTATTTGCCTTTAAATTATTTTCTTCCTTGTAGTTAGCAATAATTGAGCTTTAACTCAGACTCCAGGAGGATTAAACTGTGGAGGTATCTGGAGAAGGGGGTAGTATTCAACTCATAGGTCAGAGCTTACCTATGTGTATAGTAGGAGTTTACTTAAATGGAAAGTTGTGAAGATGCTGGAATAGAGATAGTTCTTAGCATAATAAATGTTCCATAGAATGCTTTCAATTATTTGTTCAGTCAGTTTGAATATTTCTTATATGTATCAGTTCTACTTTTATTGCATCAGAAAGGCTGCTGTTCTGTCCCCATGTTGTGTTGAGAGTTTTCATCACTCTACCCATCACCAAAATATCCTCTCCCTGATCTAGATTTGCATTTTTGAGTAATGTGTTTCAGTATTTAGTTCATATAACTATTCTTCCATTCGGGAATATCTGAAAAACATTGCAATGAAGCAAGTATCAGATATCTTGCAGAGGACAGTTCATATTAATCTGTTGTCTTTGTAGCACAATTAACAAAGCCAACCTTTAAAATATTCACTACTGTAAATGTGTTCGAATTGATATTTAATGCTATTTTTTCTTTCAGCTTTAATTAAATCTGATTTGCGAAGGCACATTGTAAATTCAGGGATTGTAACTGTGGACATTAAATCTGTAAGTAATTTTAATCTTTAAATTTACTGTTGTGATTATAAGACCATTGAACTCAGTACCATTATGACATCAGTTCTTTTGACCAAATTTGAGTAAATATTTTTTGTGAAGTTTGCATCTTTTGTACATTTTTTGTTAGAAGTCTCAGAACCCAATGTGTTATTTGCTGTCTCTGAAGAATCTTCCAATTTATCCAAGTTTTCTTTCAAATCTGTCTGCAACATGTGAGGAAGAGGTACCACCGAGAAGTTGAAAGAGTGCAGGATAATAGTTCTCTATAGAAAGCACTCTCACCATCTGAGTTGGAACCTAACAAGCATACCATTCCTTCCTGGAAATTCAGTAGATGTCATGTTGCACATTTTAAAATGACATCAGCAGCACTGTAATATTTCATGATGTTATTACCTACTCTTCCGTGTCTATGTGCACATTTAACCTGCAGTTATATGTATAATTATTAGTGAGTTATGTCCCATAAACAAGATCCCCCCATAATTATTTATATTGGGGTACACAGTCCCAAAAGCTAATAATTAGCAGGTGATTTAGTCTAATGCATGGATTACCCTACTTATGGAAATGACATAATAGCGAACTATGACATTCTTTTCTCATGTTATTACACATACTGCCCACAAAACTGTTGCAAGTATTATTGTTTCAAATTTAATATGATACCTTTATGGAAGGTAAATGTTCATTTGTCTATCAAAAGAATATGAACATTATGGTCCAATATCTTAATATTTAAATGAACTGTAAGACATGAATTAGAGAATTCTCAATATACATGAAAATATGACACATTTGTGTTTAATACACATTCCCACCAGTTGAACTTTTTACTAGCATTAATGCTGGTTCACTTCATTTTAGGAATGGATTTGGACAAGTCATAGAGTATATATTTCCACTCTTTTGCATGTTTCATTGGAATCCAGGGAACCCCTCCCTTTTTTTGCCCTGATAATACAGTGGTACCTCGGGATACGAACTTAATCCGTTCCGTGACTCTGGGCGTATCCCG